ATATAATCATTGTACATACTTCCTCTGTTATGAGAAAATAGTACGTATTCTCCCAAGTCTTTGGTTCAGAGCATACCCATTTACTGGTTGTGCTTTGTTCACGAAACACCTATGTTTGTTTAAAGGAAATTACTCACATTAGAAAAGTTGTGTGAGAACATAAAGGTTTATGCCCCCGAGTGGACACTATGGACAAAACCTCAGTGAGCGGGTATATTTCTTTGATGTAAAACTCTAATGATCCACATTTCCTGATGAAGTTACATTAGATCATTTCTTTCTCCACCACGGTCCTTTCATAAACAATGATTGCCATTTCAGCCCCTCGGTGGCGTGGCGGAAACTGAGTGTGCTTTAAAATCTGTAATTAAGATCTAAGATCCAGTCTACAGACCACACGGTATGGACCTGATTATTGGCTTCATGTGTTTTGCCAGGCCGCTTCTGTTTATGTTTTGAACTCAAAGGAAATGAAAAAGTCTTTCTCACTTATTCATACAAAAGCACATTTAAATAATTACCAGCCAATAAGATGTATTAATAAAGAGTGAGTGTAGCGCTGCTTTGTGTCTGGGCAGCATGGCCTCATCAAACATTAAAGGTCTTCTATTTTTATGGTGTTTGCTTTGCTGTGGACAAACAACAGCTATTCAAAGGTAGCTACTGCTGCTTATGATGTGATGCACCCTTGCATACATAACATCAAATAGATACAATTTTCTGAATTTTTCTCCAGAGTGAGTGCAGAAGAAGCTGATGTGTCTCCTAAAATTACATGCAGAATAAAGGAGCTGGGACCTCTAACAAAGCAGCAGAGAGATGCCAGCCTTGGTCACTTCTGTTTCTCAGAGTATCTTCTCATGTACCTCATCTCCTCTCCACCATCAGAACAGACAGAGAACTACCTTTGGCTCTTCAGCAGGCAGGATGGGCAGCACAGACCTCAGCAGTGTTGTTCCGTAACCAACAAGATAAATTTGTTCCAGAAATTCCATGTGTAGCAAAGCCTGTGCACCTGAAGTCACAGTACTTCATGGACATAACTACCAAGGTTCCAAGGGGATTAATAACACAGCCATGTCATAAAATGGGTTTTGCCAGTGTGTTTGATATGCATTCTCCACTTGTGCTCTCTAGAAAAGTAGCAAAGAAGCGAGGCCTACAACTGCTCTGCTTTGCACCATTGGCAATGTGTTTTCTTTCAGATAATAAGGCTGGAAGGCATTAGAGGTCAGCACGCAGGTCTGTAGAGCAACAAAGTCTCTAAGTCTCAAGTGCCACCCCAGTATTATTCAGATTAAATAAAAAAAACAAGTGAAACTATGATCCATTAGTTGTGGCTGTTCAGGCCAGTTCTCTGTGTGCTGTGCATGCCTGGTTCCTCCACCACAGCTTCTGTGAGGCTTTGGGAAAAAGGAAGGACTTTGCTTTATTTTGTCTGCTAATCTTAGTGCCTACCCTGGCCATTGTTTTTATTTAATCTGGGGGATTGCTGACTCCTGAAAACATATTGCTGTGATGTAGCTTTGTTAATAAATTACTCAGAAATTCAAATGCATGGCTGTCAGAAAAAGCATACACAGCAGAAGTTGGATCATATTTTCATAGCCCATTCAAGTGGTTTCTCTTAATTGGGATGGCCTACTTGGCTTCCTGAGATGCTGTCCTACAATCAATATTTTAGATATATTTTTTGTTAACAGACATGGATTTTAGATTCCATGTGGAAATGAAGGAAGATTAATGTTAAAAGAGAAGATTAAAACAATATGAAATTATCTCCTCATAGCCAGAAAACAAAATGCCATAGAAATGCATACTTTTGTTGATTTCTGCTCTTGAAAGACTTTTGGCATTCAGTTGTTTATTTATTGTCCTCAACAGGATGGAAAGAGATTGACAATTTCTGATGCAAATGAGGAAAAATGCAGACTGAAAACCGGCAGTTTAGGCGCTGCTTGCAAAGTGGCAGCAGTGTTTGAGAAGCGACTAGAGAAGCTAAACAAACACAACTGTTGTTGGCTCTTCCTGAGCTCTGGCATTGCAACAGCTCAGCTGATAGCAGTGTTTCAAACAGTTCAGGTATGCTACCTATCGCACTGCAGTCACACCCTTGGATGGCAGTACCGACTTGCCTACAGAGGATAGCAACTCTGCTGCTGGGAGTGGAACAGCTCTGGTACTCAGCAACAAGGGAATTTGTTGTTTAATACATCCCCTCTGATACCATGAGTACTTCAGCAGGTATGCGTGTGGACCACACGCACTGATGGGCAGGACAGGAGTTTGATGGAGTTGTGTGAGATAAATGCGACTGGGTTTGCACCTCTCCCATTCTGTCTTTTAACTCCAGTGGAAACTACATTATTCATAATAACTAAGACACGGCGTCTGAAATCCAAACAGGTCTGTAATTTTCTCCCTGCAAAATGCCCAGACAATTACCTGAGAACACAACTAGTTTTGAGTCAAAATCTTAGTAAGCCTTGGTTTGACAGTGATATATAGTTTACTTGCTAGCAATGCTGTTCCCTTTACCTGCATAGTACTCAGTATGCAATGGAGTAAAATTAACTTGTCTGAATCATCAACTTCTGTATAGTCGATGTTACTGACTAACTATGTAACCTACCATCTGGTCTTAAAAAACATGGATAGCTAGTTTGTATCTATACTGGGTACCCAAGGAGTATTTCTGATCATTCCGGTCTGAGCAAGGGTCTCAACTGTTTTCCAGTTTCATACAGGAGAGAACATCTCAGATTGCACCACCTCCCCTCTGACATGTACACATGGGATGAAAACTGAGGTGTATTGCCCAATTGAAGCCTTCAATATGTTTTTAAAAGGTGAAAATCTCAGTTACTGGGGGTGAGGTCCTAACTGTGTCTTTGCACGCCCTACGCAAGATGTATAGGCACAGCTGAAGTTGGATTACCACAGGTCAGCTGAGCCACCGTAACTGACCTGTGGCATTAGCATGAACTTTGGCAAAAGAAGTTTCTAAGAGGCTTCTTTCATTTGGATTTGGCCTAAAAGCCACCCAGGCAATTAGCTGTTGCATCTCAACTTGTATAGGAGAACTTGTGTAACCTGCCCAAGCTTGAAAATTACAGAAGCCGAAAAAGCACAGAAAATCACAGTAAGCATGCAAGTTTCTAAACAGTGTCACTTTTTCTGAACAACGTGGTCCTTAGTTGTGCTGTGTCTCTCTTGAGAAGAGTCCAGCCAACTAGCTGAAGGTGCCTTCATACAAAGGAAGCTCTAGATAATAAGGGGAGTCATAGCATCTGGCCTGGCCACAGTGACCTGGCAGTTTCTAGGAGCTATCACAGATGGTTAAAGCCTAGGTAAAAATTAAGGCTGCATATAAAAGGCTGAATCATGCTATAGACATTCATATCCTGAAGACTTAGACCAGCTTTTCCATAGCATGCCCAAGCCTTTCCTAACTGTGTCTTGACTAGGGCTGAAACGTGGTTCCTATAGAAGTCTGCTGAAGCAAGTAAATACTTTGATGATAAAATTAAATGGCTGTTGCAACAGAATTAAAATAATTCATTTTGTTTCTCAAAAGTGGATTAAATAGTTTCCACAGTCATAAGACTGTGCCAGAAGTCCTCAGCAGCTTCCAGCAATGACTTTTTCCCTGAAGCAGGGCCTGAACTGCCTCTTAATTACATGTGTGCAGCAGGAACGGTTAGCCTGACTGCCCTAGTAATTACAGTGTCACAGCGTATGGAAATCAGCTTGCCCATGCTCAGATAATTCAAATAAAAATATTCAGCATAAGAGAGATCTCCAGAACAAGAAAGACTACATGCCAGTAATGAGAGAGTGTGAATCATCCCTGTTCACAACATGCTACAGGGCAGGCCATCACTGACCTGCCGCTCTGCCGTTTCAGTGACACATTACTTGTAGAAGACTTCCAAGTAGTTCCTCATTTTTAAAGAAATTATTGTAAGTATACGGTAACAAACACTGAATTTTATCATCAAAGTTTTTACTGCGTTTTAGGGGATATTTACAAGAACCCTTTCTAACTAAAGTTGAGTTTTTTCACTGCTCATCCCTGCGAGATCTCCCTGGGACTCCATTTAAATCCAGGCTGGTAGAAGGAAGAGCAGCAGCAGCTATTTTAGAACTAGTGGTTAATGATCAGCTTCTTCCTGCGGTCAAACATAGCTCTAAAAGTATTTGCAGTAACACACAACAAAATAAAAAGATCACCAGAATGCTACATGTCAGATGCACATGAGGATGATCCTATTTGGTTTGATGGCAAATAAAATTTTACAGAATGCTTTGCTAAAAGAAAATTACTTCAGAGTTTACAATGAAAACTCAATGCAAAGGGATTACATTTTCTCCACCTATATTCATTTTTCAAAATCCATTCACAAAACACCTTCAGATCTGCATTAATCCTGCATATAAAGAAATACATATGCCTGTGTCTGGATTTTATATATTCAGGAATATGTTGGCTAAAGTTAATCAATCAATACCAATATTATAACATGATCATTTTAAAACTGCAGCAACGTTTATTTTTACAAAATACACAACATGTTTCTAAACATCAATAACCAAGAAAAGCTTTAAAACTATGAGAAAAACATTTGCCTAAGGATCTTTCTGGAAATTTTAAGATCTCCTGGAAACTCATTTTACAGCTTCCATTAATAAAAGTATATATTCAAGTTCAAGCTTGTGAATAATTTTAGGAAAGTAACACCAAAGGGAAACTACAAAATGATAATAAGCAAACTCTAATTAGCACAATTATTATCAGTGAAGATCCAAAAGCTATGTATCTCTTTAGAAACTGCCAAAGTACTTACCTAGACGCCCTTGAATGTTTCTCATGAAATAGTCACAACAAAAATAGCAAGTATTTCTAAACAAGTGTATTTGTTGAGAGGCTGAGGCTTTGCTTTTGTTGTTGTTTTTCATTTTTAGTAACTGCACCCTAGAAATAAGCCAATTTCACTTACCTCTTACATGGACTAGAAGATAGCCAAGGAAGACAAGAAAGATGCTTCTGAATTTCCCCATGGTCTTCTATGCAGAGCTTTGGTTGCACCGATTGTTATTCCCAGGCAATGATGGGTAGGTGTTGGTAGTGCCAAGGTTTGAGGGAGACACTTCTAATCAGTGGCTACGTCCAAAGAGGTCTTTCACCATCACACTCATGTACTGAGGACCAGGGAGAAGCCTCTAAATGCCTCACCTGGTATGGGGCAGGTGATATACACAGGCAGCCCTTTGGCAAAGCCACGTGCAGCACCCGTAGGTGACACCTGCCCTCTAACAAATGCATTTATCACCCAGGAGGCGAAGGCGGAGAGCAGGGGAGCTGCCTGCAGCACCCAATGAGATGGGAACCAGCGTGCTTTTACTCCACCTCTTCCCCTGAAGGAAAGCCAACCTGTTTGACGTCTTCTCCAAAGTAGGGTGTGGTGCCACAGGAGCTGAAATAACCTGGGAGAGGAGGTAGGTTTTCTCCAAAGCATGCCTGAACAATCTCTCAAACGTACTCTGCGCACGGAGTGCTCCTTCCCTGTTCAGTTCTCAGCTGACACCTCACTGCTGCTAAAAGAAGTTCTCTTGGAGTCCAAATGAAGGCCATAGTTAGGGAAGTGAGAGGCCAAGAGTCTGCTTTGCAAGGACTGGGGATAGTCTACAGAGGCATAACAAAAAATTAAGCCTGTGAACTTAACATGGAATGTCAGACTGCTGACCTGGAGCATGGCCAGGTCCCAGGTGGATGCTCTTAGTCACGAGGTAAATATGTCTGTCTCGATTTTCTCCACTGATCTAAATGTACTTTCTAAATAAAAATATCCATGCATATCCTGCAATTAGTGCCATGCCAAAATCCAAACAAGAGGGGAAAAAAAAGCTTTGGAAGAACAGAAATCATGTATACGTGCATGAGCTTATATTAAAATCACAGTTAATTACATACATTAAAATGCAGCTTGCCATAACCCCTCTGTGGTAAATGTATGCCAGTTCATTTGCCTGCTGAACTCTATTGCCATCATCTTACTGGCACACAGAAGCAACGTGGACACTGGTGAGCTCTCCTTTTCACTGGGATGTAGGCTGCAGACATTTTTGTCAGCAATATTTCAACTATGACAGCAAATGCATTCAGGACTTTGCTACTATTAATAGCATATCTGTACACTCTTGGCATTGCTGGATGTTCCCACCTGGTGAGGAGCAAAGGCTGGCTGGCCCTAAGTGCATTTCTACAGAGTTAAGTATGGAATTGTAGAACCAAAAACATATCCCGAGATGGAAGGGAACCACAAGGACCATCGAGCCCAAATCCCAGCTCCACACAGGACCACCCAAAATCCAAATGCTATGTCTGAGAGTGTTGCCCAGACTCTCCTTGAACTCTAGCAGCTCGGGGCCGTGCCCACAGCCCTGTGCATCCCCTTCCATGCCCTCTGCCCTGTGGTGCAGCCCCTTTCCCTGACCCCCAGCTGCCCTCCCCTGACAGCTCCATGCCGTTCCCTCGGGCCCTGTCGCTGTCACACAGAGCAGAGCTCAGCACTGCCCCTCCGCTCCCTGCGAGGAGCTGCAGCCGCCATCAGGCCTCCCCTCAGTTCTGTTCAAAGCAAGGGAGATCAGCCTCTCCTCATACGTCTTGCCCTCCAGGCCCTTCACCATCTTCATAGCTCTCCTTTGGATGCTAGTAGTTCTATGTCCTGAACTTATGCTTTTATGTCACCTACAATAAAGCGGAAGATATAACGTAAAATTTGCTAGCACGACACTAGCATTTCCACAGGATTGTTTTTTTCCAGAACACAAAAAAAGCAGGCATGTGTACTAATCTTCCTATCAGTGATGAATTTGCCTGAAGGAACGGAAAAGATAGCAAGGCTGTATACTAGTCCCAGGCAAGTCCAAGCATCTCATAGACTTCAGTAGCTTTACTTCAAAGCTGTTCTTGACAGTATCTTCCCAAAATACCTTATGTCACCTGTTTGCTGAAGCTAGTTCTTCCAGATACTTACTTTGGATATTGAGATTATTAAATTTAGTTTGAAGATGATGTGTCTCTTGTCCAAAACCAGCTACTACTTCATCAAGCTAAATAAAAGCAATATCAAAAAGGCTGAAGGGCATACTAAAGGAGTAGACCTACCACTGGAGTCAGGAGACCCCAAATATTCAAGTTATGTTCTTCAAGCCCTGTAGGACTTACTAAACTCAGCTCTCTCTGCCAAATAGATGTGCAAAAGCTTGCCCAAGGTGGCAAGTATTGCATATTAAGCACAAATATAGGGCTTTTTATCTGATCGTAGACTGCAGTTTTATCACTTTGAGACAGCATTTATCAATCTTTTCCTATTTTAAGAGAAAATAGTTCTACCTAGTATTCATCTGACAAAGCTGACAAGTTGCCTAATTTGTTTTTGACTTGTTCTTTCACAAAAAAAAAAAAAAAAAGAGGCCCCATATATTTTAAAAAAATCAAATGGGTGGAGAAATGGAGCCAGTGTGTCTGTCTATTCTCTAACGCTAATTGCTTTTAGCACATCAGGCCTCTTTTAGATGAGACAAACTATAGGAGAACAAGAAGACAATCACAACTCTCCAGTTTTGACCTCATCCTTCATGTGGAGAGAGGTTGGACATTACTCTGTTTGGCACGGGCAACCTACTGTGTGAGTCGTTCGGAGATGAAAGAATCGAATTAGAAACTAGAACTACTAGGGAAAGCCTACAGTATTGTTTATAATAAAAATAGAGGTATTTTAATTAAAATCTTGAAACATCTGCTTATCACAGTCAGTCATCTAAATGTAAGCCAAATGCACAAGAGAATCAGTGATATAATTTGGCAACAAAATAATATAATTTTTACATTTTAATTAGAATTTCAGTGTTCTATCATTGAAGGTGGAGAAATATACATTTTGGTATTTCATCCTTCAGGTTTTTAATGTACTCTAAATGCAGGGGTTTGAAAAACTGTATTTTTACTCCATTCCTTTTCCTAATCCTAATCAACTCTACACCTTCTTTCAATTTTGTCCTTTATATCTGCCTAAGAGAAACGACATAAAGAAGATAAACATTTCAGTCTATACAAAGGTTAGGCTGTATTTCATGATCTTGACAAGTGAAATCTGTAGAAGAAAGAAGGAAGAAAAAACAGATAATCTAGTTTAGATAGTGACCTACGATAAATAGAAAACTATGGAAATACAGAACTGAGAGTGCAAATTAGTTCAGTGTACACTGAAAGCTAAGTGTATTAATGAGTTTTCCTTAGCATTCAAAATTTGGCACAGATTTTGAAATGAGCATGAATAAAAACTACAGTAAAAGGCTTCCAGATCTCATTTTTAAGAATTGCTTATTTTCACTTCCACGATTTGATGATTCTTTTGGATAAGTATGGAGAAGCAATTGAAATGGATATCACATATGAAAAGTATCAGAACATTTTTTATCAATCCTTTTACTGTTAGGAAGTACTAGCCTACAACCTCAATTCCCTTGTAGAAAAGTAACATGATGTCCTAGAACAAAATAGTGCTACTTAATATTTTTTTCTCTTATTACTGCAGATAACTTTAACAGCTCTAGGAGTGATGCCTCCAAGGAGGCAGACTGAAGAAAAAACAGAACTCAGAGATAAGCAATAGGAAAAATAGAGTACTCTGTTGCCATTCCCTTTTTAATAGTGAACAGTACCTCAGCAGGACTGAAACTGTCAGTTTGGGCCTGAACAATTTTTTTTCATTCCACTGCACAGGCAAATTGAGACCTGTATGGAAACTGGAACGAGAATTCCCAAAACAGGATCTGAAGATCACTAGCATCTCACATGGTCACGATAGGTAGCAACTGATCAGTAAGAGATGACCATAAATACACCTCAGAACGGTGAAAAAAAAAAAAAAGATACTTCATGTTTCTTGACCCAGTGAGTGTGAGAACTAATGGATTAGCATATTGGAACTAGGTGATCTCAGTGGTCCCTTCCAAAACACCCATTCTATGATTCTATGATTTAGTTACAGTGCAAGAGCAGTTCAGCTACAGCAACACAAAACCAAAACTTCAGTGAGTAGTAAGGCATATAGAAGTGTATCAATTAATAGCCTGATAGTTGAAAACTAAGTGGAACGCTACTTTTTATCCACAAATAACTAACAGAAATCCAGAAATTGGCAGTTTCTTGCTCCCAGCTACATAACTGCCTGAACTTTCACGCCTTCCCTTCAGCCTTTTCTCCCTAGATGGCAGCACCCAGTCTTTCTTCCTTCTCTCAAAACTCCAGATGGTGAAGTCATAAGTGGACGAAGCCAAGGATGAGAGCAGCTGAAATCAGCAGTACAATGGCCCAAACATTACTCGAGGCTTGCCTGCTTTGTGAAGTATAGCTGTGCCCAAATTTCATATGCCTGTTTAGAATGAAAATATGAGTAAGCTTTTTACTGATTAGCCACTTGGCCTCACAATGCCATCTCGTTTAGTTTTGATCCTCTCACTCACAGAACACAACTCAAACAATTCTGCAATGGTGTCAGCTCCTAAAGGCTGAGATGATAGCTGCATGAGAAACACTTAACTTACAGGTTTCCCACACTAAACCTTCTCTATACACTTTCTCCAGATTGCATTACCAGATCTTGGTGTTCTTGTTCAAAAGGTGCACCTTTCCTCCACACAGGCATCTTCTCTGCTCTCTGTTGTTGTCTTCTCTGCATTGACAAAAACCCATGAAAACAGCTCACAGCCCTGTTGCTAATGGCCAACTTGCTTCTAAACTGATTTTGTAAGAAATAAATCTGAATTCCCAATCAAGCAGGAAGACAACAAAGACAACCCCCCTTTGAATTCTGCTTCTCTGGTAGAGCACCAAAATGCTGCCAACATTTCTAGAAGTACTAAAAATGAAAATAATTAATTTTTTAAAATTATTATTTATTTTAAGAAAAATCACAATGATGACAAGACGGTTTAGCAAGTATTTTTTATGGCTTGCAAAAGCTGAAAAAGATTTCAAGAGTCTAGTTACCAAAAGCAAGTTTGAACTTCCCCTTCGCTCTGTTCTCAATAGACATCAATTTACTTCTGTTTCTTCTACACTTGGCACTGATATGTTTCTTCATGCAGATAAGCTGTACATTTAATTTCTTTTATTTATGTAGATCAGATGTTTACATATAAATTGCTCTTCCACCCTTGAAAACACTTAGAAGTTTTAGCACTCTTCTGTTAAAAGCACAAGTGGGGCAAAAAGAAGTTTACAAATTAATTCCATCATGACAAAATACTAAAATCTGTGTAAAGCTTTGTTGCAGGCTAAGAAATAAGTACAATAAATTCTTAAATGAATTATCACTGGCATACATTCATATTTGAATGCATAGATGTACATGTTTAATATCCAAATTCATAACGACTTCTAAAATATTCCACGAAATACCATCTTTCTGTAGAACTCTGTCAGGTGGCTGAGGCACATTAGTAAGACAAATATTGTAAAACTGCACAAAAACTAGAACCACTTAAAATGAAAGCCAACTGTTGGGCTATTCCTTCCAGCCTGAACTGCTTATTATTCCAGACTTAGTCCTTTAACTGTTATGAAATGCACAGCTTCCTATGCTTCCATGGATCTTTGAAAACTCCTGGTAGCTTCCAAAAGCCACAGCAAATCCCACAAGTGCTTTCAGCTCAGAATGCAATCACTGCCTTTCATCGCAATTGCAATCCTTCACAAATCCAAAAGCATTCTTCACATGTATGTTTAGTGGATGCTTGTGGAGTGAGGCAGGGTTGCTCTGGTCAGTCTTGTTAGTCTGTATTTGTTAACTGCAGTACAGTTTTCATCTTGTAAGGGCGTATTATGATCCTTCTGAATTCAAAGTAACACATTACTTTCTCTCCCGTTTTTGGTTCTGTGAGCCTGGTGACATTAATCCCCACTCTCCAGCGCTTCATTAACAATTCAGATTATCAGTCTTACAAAATACAGTCATGGTTCTGGCTTGTAAATCAGGCTTTCCCACATCTGACCAGCTTAGTAGCTGCTATGCAAGAATAGCCTGAGAGGATCAAGGGTCTGTGTGCACTAGTTTGGTTGTTCAGAATCTGTACCAGACAGATATAATGAAAAATATACAAAAACATCTCTGAATTTTTTATCTTTTGGTGGCTGACCAAGGCAGCTACACAGATTGTATCAGCAGCACCCACATCAAGATCCATTATCACAAACACAGTGAGCTATTTCATTTGCTTTACTTCCAGGTGCCTGCATCATATCTCAAATTATTTGGTTGGTACATTCACTCCATAGAGGATATTTAAAAAAAAAAAAAAAAGTCTGAACTGCCTAAAAGCAATGGCATAACAAAACATAAACTTCTTATTTTTTTGTAAGAGGTAAGAAAAAGTTAAACATACTGAATGCACTTGAGGCACACCCATTTGTCATAGGAGTAAAGGTAAGAACATCTCCTGTCATTAAGGCCATGTATTGGTGTGCAACACTGCTTCATAGGACTAACCATATAGAAGTACTCAGGTTTAAGTCACACTCTCAAAAATGTTTCAAACACCATGGACTGTTTTCTCACACAATTTCAGTCTCTACTGTTTACATTGTAGTTTTTTGTTTCTTTCTTTTTTTTTTTTCTTCTCTTTTTTTTTTCCCCCCAGGCAAAATGCAGGCTCTCTATCCAGTTTCAACGGTCACCATCATTTCTCTTAGTTCTCCAGAAGTGTGCGCTGAACTAAAAAGTGAGAAACAACTTAAGATTAGTACACTAAGTTAACATATGTTCTAATATATATATTGTTAAGTAGCAGCATATTTGGACAACAGTTATTTTCAGTAGACATTTGAAACAGTGGGAAAAACTCAGGTAAGCAGAGGCTTGATGCCATGAAGCCAGTACCCTGCCTAACAAGGGATACTGCATTCCAGATTTTTACTCAAGTAACCACATCCTAGTAGATCCATATAGGTCTCTACACTAGTGGTTTGTATAACCCAACATGCAGTTACAGATTGCAGTTCTGCCAATGCAGAAATGAGATGGAGTGCAGCTGCATATCTGATGGAAATAATCTTAGCCTCAGTTGCCTACATTCTTAGGAAGTCCAAGTCTAAAAACTAGGGAAGAAGGGCCCCATAATCAGGATTGAAATCTTGACCTAGAGCTAAGTTAGTTGTACCATTAGTTACAAACAAGCGATTTTCTTCACAACGTTAGATGACGATAAAGTGTATTTAAATAGGATCCCCACAAAAAACCTGCATTTCCATCTAGAATCTCCTCTTACCAGGTGGCTCAGATTGCGCTCCTCTATGGCTGTCCATATTCACATTCTCTTCATCTGCTGAGAAAGAAATAGATGCTTAGCAATGAACTTTCCCAAATTTGAAAATACCAGTGCCTGTTTGGACTGATGTATTACTACCTGCCTTCACCAATGCTAGATTGTACTAGAAAGATCAGATAGACTAGAAAGACAGAAACAAAGTTTCTGTCCCATCTATCACCTAAAGCGCTCTCCAAGTTCTCTGATCCAAGTTCCAAACCATTCAGGTGAAAAGGAACAGACCACCACAGAACAAAGATCATGTGGGGAAAAATGCCCCAGTAGATGTCAAAAACCTAATACAGAGGTAAGCATTTTGTGAAGACACATATGCAAGATTTATGAAGTCAGAAATGATTGTGTATTTTCCAGCAAGAAGATGGTCTTAATCCCCAGCCTTCTCTGTTTTCTTTAAATATTTTTTTCTTGTAGTCTCTCCTGCTCACTCTTTAGCACGAGGTAATTTCAAGAAAACAGAAACTTGAGCTGTTTGCTTCTGAAATTCTAAGTTTTGGGCACAGCCTTCTGGAGGATCCCTGTCTTGGATAGAAGAGGTTACTCCTAGTCGATATGAATCCATTGAGTTGTTAAAACTACCTGATGCCTAAAGTAAAAATTCTATCTGCCATATAAAATACAAAAAAGCAACGCTATAAGAGGTGAAAACAAAGTAATTTAGAATTCTTACCGCTTTGTTTGAAACAGAGTTTCTTCTTCTGGTAAGCAATGAAACTAGATACTGCTCCAATCGCAGTAGCAGCCACAGCACTTACAATCCCAGCTATTGCTCCCTGAGAAGCTGAAAAAAAAGGTTTTGTACTCATTATTTCAGTATTGAAAGCGATGTCAAACTTGTATTATGTAAGCTTATGAACACTTGTAAAACACAATAAACATGAAATTATAACATGAAACTGCATTAAGCAACTTTTTATATCTTTGTAATTAAATCTTTTAATTTTATAGCCATTAATTTCTCAGTAGTGTCTATCATTAAAACGCTCGAGTACGTGTGATTTAAGTTCTGCTACTTTATAAAAGCTCCCCTTTCATGACCAAACCTAAGTTATACGAATACAGTCTCTGCACCAGCATCTCTGAGACCTTACCACTTTGAATCATTTCCAAAAGAGATCTCAAAGATTTATAAAAGAAGAGCTTGAAGGTAAGAGTTCTAGATTCTACGTTTTGAAGCTAAACCCTCTGACACCAATAAGCATTCTAGTGGAATATCAGCAACGAAAGAAAAGGCACAAAACAAGTTTCAGACATGCAGACACCATGTACAGAAACTCTTGCACTTACCCTCACCATCTCCACCCTTGTTTGAAATTGAGTCCCCTTCTCCTAAAAGAATGAACGGAAGGTTTAGTTTTTATACGTCCTAAGAATAGTGGTATTACAAATTTTTTTGGCAGTTAGTCAAGGAAAATGACAAGCCATTTGCCGATGAAGGAATTCTTATACATCTATATAGCATAGATAATTATATCCATGTAATATTAAGCTTTCTGGCATTCCAAATTCCTTTTTTCAAAGCACAAGTCACTGTAATGTTAACTTTGGCACTCAGTGCTTCTACAAAAATGAGCACAGCACATCTGTGAAGGCCAATTTAATTAACTTGCCCTCCACCACAGGAGAATACTCAGTGGAGAGGAACATCACATAATTGTAGGTTAGCCTTAAAATGTGTTACCATTCCTCAAATCTCAGCCTCATTTACTAAATAGCTTTGCTACTCTCTTAGCAAAAAAGATTAAAGTTCCATAAACACTCCCCTGATCTGTCATTATAAAATTTATAAAACTTGGGCACTCTGAAACAGAAACTCACACTGATAAAAACACTGTACGTGTCCCAACAGATGCTATTTATACCTGTCAATTTTTAAGTTACCGTTCCAAAGGAATCTTGGAAGGTAAAAACTTCCCCAAAACCACCCTCAGTACCCACTAAGATGGGTCAGAGACCTGCTACATGTCAAATCCACATCAAGTTATTCAAACTAACACTGACCAGGAAGTAATGAGATGGCAGTAATGCACACAGGGCTAACTACCACACACTAATGACGACCAATATTGCGACTTGCTCCCCATGACCATCTCCATACTCAGATGCACCATTACAATTAGGCTCAGAAAACTATTTACAGCAATATTTGTAAGCTATAAAATGGTTACGTATCATTCAGTGTAGATATACCCTGCATTATTTGGAAGTCTAAGGATCAATTCATTCTGTGGAACAGGTGAAATCTGAGAATACATCTCAAAGACCATCTTGTAGCCCACTCTTGGGCTTCTTAACCACAAGAACTAAAATAAATTGAGAGTATTTCACAGAATATCTTAAACAAACAAACAAACAAAAATATCAAATACCTGGATGCCTTTAAAAACCATATTCATGATGAATTCTGAAACAAATGCCACTTTCACATCTCAGTTTTAAAATCTATCGAACTAAGCATAACAGTAAAATCCCCTGACAGTTGTTTTCACCTCTTAATTATCTGGGTATTTTTTGCCAAATGCAGAACACATTGGCTTTGAACTAAAAGATATTCTGTCATGTTTTCAGGTACCAGAACCAAAATTTTTAAAAATTAGACCATGTTAACCAGCTTGCAAATAAGCTTTTATCAAAAGTTCAGGTAGCCTTGGGATCAATAGGAAGCAGAAACTACTAACTTACCATTGCCACCACTGCTGCCACCACCTCCACCTCCTTCTCTTGGTAAATCACCATCAAATAGATCTGAATCATCAAAGCTGTCTATAAAAAGTTAAATATTATTATCTTATGTGTTCCAAGTGAAGTGTCTTTTCACTGAAAGGCACACAATGACATGCAAATATTCTGCAGTTCATTCAATTAGAATCTGTGGGGGTTCTAAGCTCAGGGTCATGGTTACAACATGTTCACATTCCAAAAGCCCTTCCAACCTCAGCTTAGCATCAGCCGAGCACTATACATTATATATATATATACATATAGATATAGACACTGAACAAATGAGAGAGGCCACAGTCCAAGATCAGGTGTTACTCCAAGCATTACTTGCTAAACAAGCAAGAACCTCTGTAGGCTACTTAACTGGAATGATCCAAGCCTCACTATTCTGTTAAAGCAGAAAAAGAACAGAAAACGAACATTTATGTTCAAAGTTGGAGCTGTGAGTGCTTTTTCAGAGTTGAGTTTCTATGTCATAACTGATCCTTTGAAACTGTACAATGAGCTAGAGGGAAGAAAAAACAAAAGCAAAAAAACGCAGAGTTCACCATGCCAGTCCTGTGGCTACTGTATTAGCTTGATAATGGGAAGAACCAATCCTTTTCCACTTCCAACAGACCCCACCTGATAGAGCCTGAAATTCTACAAGTTCTACTCCTTCCCTCTGCTGCCAAATGAATCTTTACTTTATGAAAAGCAAAGTTGTTTGAAACAGCAAAGCTAAAGCCATTTGATCAGAGGAGGTTTTATTCGGGTAGCAAAAGAACTGTACTGAGGCACACGTGACCTGCATTCAAACATACATTGTCTACAAGGCAGGAGAAGGAGCATGAACCAGGGTACACACTGCAAGTAAGAACTCTTCATCATCACATGCCTCAATTAAGGCAGCAGGATAGCTGCATCCACCTTAATCTGTTTTATTCGGAGCTGGGCAAAGACAGAGAAGATCTCTAAAGCACTATAGGAAGAGTGTGTATTGCCTATCTTTATAACACACACACACAAAAAAACTGTATTGCTTTAGTTAGGGCTTTAACAAAATCCTAAAAAAATAAAAAATATATTTTAAAAACAACTTCTTGAGCATACCTTTAATTTAGATGCTTTAAGAATGTAGATCAAATGTAGTTCCTCCTTGTTTTTTTTAAGTCTAGCATGGATTCAGTTTGTAAAGACAGAGTCAATCCAATGTATATGTGCAGTAGTATATGCATCTAACAAAAACATTGTCTCAAACACTCACTCTGTCCCCTCCTTTAAAGTTGGAAGGAAAGTGACTCAACAAGTTTGTTATGGAATTCCAAGACTGCTACAAAGCTTATTTGCAAGGCAATTTTCCCTCAGTTCTCAGTGTCATCCAAACCAAAATCTGACATGCTGTGCATCTAATTAGAAAGGAATAATTATTAGAAGTTTAACTGGGACAGTAAAGACGCATTATAATTTGAGTGCTTGTGCTAGAAACCTTACCAGATTCTCTAGGCTTTACAGGTGTAGCTGGCCTGGGGTTATCTGCACAAAAAAAAGATATACAGAGGAAAAAACAAAGAGAGGTTAAAAGATCAAAAGCAGTCTCTGGAATGGACAAAAACAGTAACTCTGGAATGGACTAGGAAAGAATGAAGTGACCAAACTCACTACTGTGAAGAGACCAAGAGCAGAACACATAGTAACCTTGAAAGACCACTCAACTTATAACTTATAACTCAGCATATATTATTATATATAGTATCAATCATTCCCATATTATGTTTTTTTTTTTTTTAACATTAGCTAGCACTGTTGTTTTGTGTTAAAAACTGTACTTTGAGTTAATGCAATTAATAGTGTTTGTTACATTTGTCTGTATGTCAGACCTTTTTATACCTGAACATACACAGCAAAGTTTACTAAGTCTTATGCAGCATTTCAATTTTAAAATCTGATTTCGAAACACCAAATTTCAGGGTTTTTTTCTACTAGATACAAATTATTTTGCTGTTTTCTCTTTTAAAAGTACCAGATCAATCTTTTCCTAGCTCTACGACAAGTCAGATCAGGTGTCTTTAGGCTCTGTGCATACTCAATATAAAGAGGCTGGCCCATTGACAGCACAGTTCTAAGACCCCAACTTAGGCTTCCAATCCTACAGAGGATCCTCTCTCTTCATTTACCTTAACCATCTGATCCACTCACCCAATTGTTTCTCAACTAGCCACCTCCATTTTCAAAATATCAACATTTGGAAACAGACTGCTTTAACAGACAGAAAACTTCAGTGCTAAATCAATCAGAGCAGCAAAAAGTCTTGTAGAGGTGTGCACGTGGTGTTAGCTCAGCTGGCTGTACCGCAACAGGTCTAATGACAGTGCCCAAAGAGCTACCAGGCATTATCTGCCTAACTAGATGTTTCTTCTACCAGGTGTATGAAAGAAAACTGACTCAACAGGTTTGTTACAGAATTTCAAGAATGCTTCAAAGCTTATTTGCAAGGCAATTTTTCCTCACTTCTCCAAAGCGTTTATCCAAACCAACAGCTCACATGAATCGCAGCCAATTAAAAATGAATAATTATTAGAAGTTTAAATGGGACAGTAAAAACACATCATGATTCAAGAATCTGTGCTAGAAGCCTTACCAGAGTCTTTAGGCTTTGCAGGTAGATCTGGCTTGGAACCTATAGACAAAGAGTGTTTGAATGGATTACTTCAGATTTAAATGCTACTTCCTGTAAGTAATTATTTATGGACTTAGTGCCACCTAGTGAACACACAGCAATGAAACAAGTAGGACTTGGCTAAGAAATGTGAGGCCTGTTACTTTAAACAACACAGTGCCCCTATTACATTTAGATAATATAGGATGGATAAACATTGCACCAAATACTTCTGAGCAGTATCCAGAAAATCATGATACTTACTAGGTCCAAAAGCATCTTCTAAGTTAAAATCATCTATGAAGAAAGAGGGGACATTTTAAGCGTGATGTGAAAACTGAATTAATTTTAGACTATTTTTTTACACAAAATGCACCTAGCAATGTTCTCACCAAGAATATAATGGCATGTCCATTCAACAGAAGTCCACAGAAGTGCATCACAGAGCTACAAGGCATTATCTGCCAAACAACATGCTGCTTTTGGAGATCATGGGACATCCCATGAGCCAGCTCAATGTAAGCACGCTCAAGATGAGCGAGCTCAGAACATGCAGACTAAAAACCAACAGCAGGAATTCTCACAGGACCTCAAAGATTGTGAAATCATGAAGCAACTTTGTAAAGGCAAGAAGCAAAAGACTCCAAAATGCAGAAATTCTTTTGCCATTAGGGAATTACTTTGTTTTTTATAGAAATATCACAGCTCCATGGGCCACTATACTGAAAAATGCAAGGTCTCAAACTGGTACATACAACTATGCTTGACAGTAAAAGGCATTACAGGGAAATCAGAACTCACCAAAATCTGATGATGGTGGCTTCACTGTAGCTCCTGTCAAGGGAAAGAGGAACAAACAAACAAAGAAGTTGAAATACAATTTCCTACACTGTTCTAAGATACACATAAGACGAATTTAAACCCATTATCTATACAGCAGAAAGGACAAGATGAATTCTACACAGCAAGGTTTCCTCTCAAGATCAGCCCCAAGGACTGCTATTTACCCAGTCACCCACAGCACACTACCTCAATACATTCACGATACAAAGTGGCTTCCCAGCACACATAAAGTAGTGTGATCTGGGCAGGAGGTTCTGATCTCTGATCACTGATCACTGCTGTCTAGTGACAGTGATAGAACCTGAAGGAATGGCTAGGAGCTTTATCAGGGAAGGGTCAAGCTGTTTATCAGGAGAAGGTTCATCACCAGGGAGTGGTCAGGCATAGAAGTGGCTCCCCAGGGAAGTGATCACTGTACTGAGCTGCTGCAGTTCAAGAAGTATTTGGACAATGCTCTCAGCCATCTGGTCTGATATTTCGGTGATCACACGTAGAGCCAGGAGTTGGACTGTGATCCTTGGGTGTCAGTTACAACCTGGGATATTCTATGGACTTGTGCAAGACCACTGCCAAAGCATCCATATCTCTAAGTTGAAAGATATGAAGTCTAGACTTGGATAAATAATTGGTGGGATGGTCATAACCAGGGGGTTGTTGTTAATGGCTCTATGTCAAGGTGGAGCTGGTTACAAGTTGTGTCAACCCACAGGGGCCTGTCTTTGGACCAGTAGTCTTTAATACTTTTATCAATGAAATAGATGATGGATCAAGTACACTCAGTAAGTTAGCAGGTGACACTAATCTGAGTGGCTCAGTTAACACTATAGAAGGGAAGGACACCATTCAGAGAGACCTGCACAGGCTTAAAAGGCCTACAAGAAACAGAATGAGGTTCAACAAGGCCAAGTGCAGGGTGTTACGCGCAGATCTGTGTACAGACCAGGAGAACAACTCACTAACAGCAGCACTGTGGAGAAGGACTTGAGGATCAAATTCAGAAGATATATACATAAAGCACTGGTGTGCTTGGCTTTTCTTCTAAGAACACAGCTACAGAAAAGGAAACGTAAGTGGCTACTGCAAAATCTGCAGAAGGGAACAAAACCAAAAAAATATCATACCATAAAACTGAACGTTTCTTCTGCTTATGGGACAGACCAAGTTAAGACAAACCACGAGTCTAGTACCAGGACTGAGGGATGCTCATGTATTTGGTGACATCATTCATTCCAAATGACATCAAAACTGAAACTTATTTTCTTTCTCAAATGATTGCACTTTTAATACCATTTGCTTTCCACAGAAGAAATATGACTAAGATACATTTCTGTGTTTGTTTGTTTGCTTTTAAAAAGGAAAAAAGGAATGACAACTGGAATAAAGATTTCAAAGGCAAACTAGAGTTTCCTTCCTTCAATGTGAACAACTGAACTACTTCAAGAAGTATAATCAGTGATTGCCTTACTCTAACAATCAAATAGAATATCACCCTGCTCACAACTAAGCAGGGAGGTAGCCCTGCCTGGGAATTTACCTGCTCCTTCATGGAAACTGACAGAGGTAACTCATGGCTTTGTTGTGGTACAAGAGCAAAGTGAATTTAGAAACCCCTAGATAAGGTTGTTAGGTAAAGATCATGGACAGGAGACAAACAGTTTTTTTAGCTGGATTTCATCACTCCAGATGGAGACCATAAGCTCTTTCTGATTCACAGATTGCAATATATTTACAAGTCACTATCTTAGATGTACATCATCTTGCAGTACAATCTCAAAAACCTCAGTAAAATGAGCAGACCCAAACTGCTAGACCAAAATCTCAGTCACCTCTGGAGTCACCCCTTCATTTAAACTCCAGCAAGAAATCTCCATATTAACAAACACAAATGGACAAAACACACAGGATAAAAGAAATTTTAAGAAGCAATTACATTGTTCTTATTCAAATTTGAGTTCTGGCTTGTTTTTCTCCGGAAGTATCTATATTTTTCCAGTTCCAGTCCTTCAAGGAAGAATGCCTGAACGAACACACACATTCATCTTTATACTTTCATGCTGTGGAAGTTTCAGCTGGAGCGGAAAAGGAACTGTTTGTCTCACTGTGACCACCTTAAAACTCAGTCTGAGGACTGCAAATGGTCTTAGTCACAGCAGTTTCTCTCTAGAAGAAGAAACCATATAAAAGAGTGTGCACACAATGACATCACTATTTTAAGAGACTGTTTTTTGCACATGATGTTCATGGAGAAATAATTTAGAGTGATACTGCTAACTGCCAATCTGACATAAGACATGTTTTGAGACAGCAATTAAGAAACTTGAGGGTTAATAAAGAAGAACTCAATCAACACTGGCTGGAATCATTCAGTATTCTGTAACCACGGTTCTACTTCCCAAGCATCCAGCAAAACGTCAGGCCCTTCAAAAACATAATTTATCTCAATAATGATAGCAAAATCATCATCATCTTACTTACCAAACTCATTACAATAATCTGTATACCAAAGTGCTTGTGGTCTCATTTCCCCATTGCTTGTGACAGAACTTCACATCTCTTAAATCACTTGCTTTTAAGACTATACCCGCTCAGCTTTTAGTATAGGTAGGAACAACTAAAGTAACAGTTCAAATATTCAGCTTGAAAAGGGAGAATTTCCGTACCAGGAAGAAGCCATGAGATAACGCAGATAAAGATACAGCATTAGATTAAAGGTAGTTGCAGGATCCAAGAGCAAACAAAATCAGCATGAATGTGCTGTGCTCCTTAAAGGTTTAAGCAGCACCCAGAGCAACTGAGCTTATGAGCATTTTCTTAGCCTAAAAAAAGATTATTGCAAATAAAGCTGATTAGCTCCATACAGCAGGTATTTCTAACTCCTGAGGCCATGAGCAGATTCCAGAACATCTCAGAAGAATTCACACCATTTTCCTTCCATATCCACGATACAAATTCTCATCAGTCAGTCCCTTCATCAGGCCACCCCCAGTAACTGGTAGAGTTTGTGTCAGATGGACTGATAAACAGCACTTAAAATGAAAAGTGAAATACTTTACCTTTACACGAGACAAAGTACTCAGAGCAACACAAGCGTTTGGAAAGCTGATGAGCCAGAAGGTATTCAAGACAGCCAAGCAGCTACATAAACAGGGGTCATTCACAAAAACTCGTTAGTGCTCCCAGATATTTACTGTTACAGTATTATTTACATTTATGCAGTACTGCAGAAGCCAGCAGCTCTGAGTCAAAGAAGTTCCTCCATGAGTCACGTGCATGGCAACACACCAAGAAAAGCAAGCTGCTATGAATCATGGCAAATTTTCTTACTTGAGCAACAGACAGATGGAATGTTGTTTTTCTAAAAACACTGGTGTTCTCCTTCCCCAGTCCTGGAAGGCAGAAGCTCCCCCCCTCTCCCAGGGCCCTGTTCACACCCCAGTGCAGAGCCTGAACACTATGGCTGGCACAGACTTGGGTGGCAGCAGGGAGCTTGTCCCTGTCCCACCTCTGAGTGCTGCCTGCTGCTCCTTCAGTGGCCTGGATTCAGCTCTACCCTTCTGCCTAGCCACTCCTCTTCATGGAATCTGCAGAAATGTTCATATTAGTGAGGCCTCTAATTTCTCATGTGGTTTGACAGTATGTCTGATGAGGGGAAGTCTGGTAGCCGCAAGTGCATAAACGCGGGAAACCAATCTAAACACATCCTCCCCAGCTTCCACTGGGTAGCTGGTTTTTACTCTCCTATGTCTCACATTCTCCTCAGGGGACTTAAAAGAAGTAGAAATATTCAACACCTAATCGTAAGAGAAGCTGAAGAAAGTACAGGAAGACCAACACAGGGAACCTTGTTTATGAAACAGTTCAAATAAGAGCAAAGTCATTACCACTCTTAGAATTGCTTCTTAAGCTTGTTTCCAATTCAGGTTTTGCCCCACTGGCATTAGTTACCAACCATAATTCACATTCTGACACTTACTTTCCAACATGCCATAAATGAGCAAAGCCGAGATAAGCAACTGGATCACAAAACTAACAAACAAAAACCTGCGAGGAAAAATGACATTATTCTCCAAATATAACTACAAGAACTGCCTTCCAGGATTTGAGATGGAGAACCTGGAACATGAAGACCACTTGCTGTGGGCAGAGGAATGAACATACGCCCGCACCATTGCTCTCAGCCAGGGCAGAGGTTCTCAGCAACGTCCCTCTGTAACAGCAACACAACTGGGACGTTTACTCCCATTGCCAGGCAGCAGTTTATAATTAGTTCTGCATGAAGTCTAGTGGAATTAAATCCCACGTGGTTGGCTTTCAAACCCAGTTCCTCCTATAAGGATCCCCCTATTAACACTGCTTTTCACGTTTAGTTTCTACCAGATGCACAGAGTGACAGAAAACAAAACAGCTTTGCATAAAGTTGTGTTCTGAACAATAAAGCCCCCTCCTCTCTAAAATAAATACAGTCCAAACACAGATAACAACTGTAAAATAGACAAAAAAAGGAAAGACAATTTTCTGCATTTAGGGAGTGTCTTCTTTCTGCACATCTGGAGTTTTCAACAACGTATCTGCCTGGAATGAAGTCAGCTAGGGCTCTGCTGCAAACAGATGTGTAAGACTAATAAATATCATGTTTAATTTTTGAACAGCCATCCAAAAGCTGTTTCCCTGAGAAAGTTACTTTATTTGCACCAACCTGGAAAATACAATATCTAAAAAGTTGGACAGTAACACAGTGTAATTTTTTTTTTTCCTGATCTGGCTGCTGGGAAATAGATTCTTAGACTAATCTGTGCTGTATTAAATTTTTGAGTAATTTCTTCCCCCCTTAAAGGACAGTTTAATACTTTAGGTTAAGACAAAGTGAAAGCCTACAAAACTACATTTAGATTTAACAGTATTTGCTTAAACAACTGTAATCATCTGAGTTACTTTAACAGAACGTGATAAAACAAGCCTTTCACTGGGGAAGAAAACCCTTCGTCTCAAAG